GACACAGACATAGCCTCATTTGCTGACGATATTTGCATTCTTTCAAAACATGAAAATCCCACAACTGCTTCAGAGCAACTTCAAAGTCACTTAACATCAATAGAAAAATGGTACAAACTGTGGAGGCTAGAGATCAATGGTCAGAAATTATCCCACATCACTTTTACACTCAAACACGAGACATGTCCACCTGTAACTGTGAATGAAATAGAAGTCCCTCAGGTCAAACACGTAAAGTATCTGGGCATGCATCTAGACCGCAAACTGAATTGGAAAATTCACATGAAAAAGAAAAGACAACAGCTTGAGGAAAAGTTACGAGAACTATATTGGTTATTGGGTAGGAGATCCCATCTTTCTGTACACAACAAAATACTGGTATACAAAGTTGTACTTAAGCCGATTTGGACATATGGCATAGCACTTTGAGGCACCACATCTAAAAGTAATGCTAACATCATTCAAAGGTTTCAGAACAAAGTTCTTAGGATCGCTTTAGGCGCCCCAAAATATACTCCCACCTGGCTGATCCATGATGACACACATATGCGCACTGTAGCCGAGGAAGTTAAAAAATTCGCTGTTAACCACAAAGACAGACTGTAAGAACACCCAAATGAGTTGGCCAACGCACTGCTATCCACAAACACAACACGAAGACTTAAAAGAAAAATATTTAGTGATTTAATTAGATTGTAATTACTCGTGTCACATTATATTACTTCTTTTAAAGGAAAAATGCAACTGTGTATTTTTCACTATTTATATGTCGATGTCATTTTTACATATAATTGCCAAAAGATTTACTTAATGTCTATGTAGGACAGTTGTAAATATATTGTTGAATAAAAAAAAAAAAAATATTTCTATTTTAGTTTGAGGACAATATTTATCAGTCGATGATAAAAAAATATTGCATCAATATTTATTCTTCTATTTGAGGACAATATTTATTAGCCGATGATAAAAAATATTGCATCAATATTTCTATTTTGGTTTGAGACCAATATTGGACAAGGCCATTTATAGAGATTATTGCCTCAATATCGGCTGACGTTGGCCTAATCGATTAGTTGACATCATCACAGAACCGACGTTCGCGATATTAATTTCTACATGGGTATATATATATATATATATATATATATATATATATATATATATATATATATATATATATATATATATATATAGATACTTTATTCAAATTCAACATTTACAATTTAAGTCAATACAATTATATTATAATATAACTAAACTAATATCAGTTATGTTTATGAACAACCTTAAGATTAACCTAATGACAATTAATTATATATATATATATATATATATATATATATATATATATATATACCAGGGCAGATAAGGGTAACATCACGGTTATCATGAACAAAATTGACTATATTTCCAAATCCATGTCCCTCCTAGCTGATGTAAACATTTACGAACCTATAAATTCAAATCCCACTTACCTTATAAATCGGAATACTTTGAAATTCATAGATTCACTCATAGAAAACAAGCAAATCCCCAAACCTCTCTCTCTACAATTAAAAACTTACAATCCCCTTTCCCCAAAACTTTATTGTCTTCCCAAAATCCACAAAAATGGCTTTCCTCTTCGACCAATAGTTGCTGACTTAAATTCCCCTCTTTGCTAATTATCCAAATTAATTAGTTCAATTTTATCCAATATCACTCATAATTTTCCCCATTTTGTCAAAAATTCTTCCGAACTCATTCCCAACCTTAACTCCATCAATGTACCATCTGGTTTTTCCTTTGTAAGTTTAGATGTTGTTTCCCTCTTCACTAACATTTCACCTGACCTTAATCTCTCTGCCATAGACCATAAATGGGTTGACATCAGCAAACACACAGATTTCAATTTTTCTTGGTTTCTGAATTGTATTAAATTCATTATTTCCAATACTTATTTTTCGTTCAACTACTCCTTCTTTAAACAAAAATTTGGCACTCCAATGGGTTCCAGTTTGAGTGCCCCACTTGCTGAACTTTGTATGCAGTTCCTAGATAACTCTACTCTTAATACCTTGTCCTATGTACCTCTTTTTTACAAACGTTACGTTGACGACATTTTAACTTGCATTCCTTCTTATCACATAACCAATTTTCTAAATTCTTTTAATAATTTCGACACACACCTTTGTTTTACCGTAGAGACTCAACTCAACAACTCCATTAATTTTTTAGATATTACTCTTTTTATAAATAACGGCTCCATCACTACATGTTGGTATCAAAAATCCACTTGGCCTGGACGTTATTTAAATTACCATTCCTATCACCCCAAATCGGCTAAGATTGCATCTATCATCAACTTACTAGATCATGCCATTCTTCTTTCTCATCCATCACATTGGGAAAAAAATATTAATTTGATATATTCTACCCTTCAAAATAATTCCTATCCATTACAACTTTTGTGCTCAGTAATAAATAATAGATTAACTTTTCTTCGTAATAAATTCCGTACATCTTCCTTATTCACAACAATCACAACAAAACAATATCATTTCACAAACCCTTAACCCTGTTCCTGAAAATTCACTATCTCTCAATTCCTTCATCTCATTACCGTACATTGACTGCCTTTTCAACTTTTGGAAAAAACTTTTTTCAACCGTTGGTCTGAAGCTTGTGTGTTTATTTTTGTCTATTTCCCGCACGTCAAACGTCGTATATGTCATTCATTGCAATGATTGTTCAAGTTGTTATGTTGAAGAAACTTCACAATTTCTCTCAAAAAGAATGCGCGAACACGAACTTAATAGTTTAAACAGGAAACAAAATAAAACCATGATAACCGAACATGTCTCCAACTTCAAACATTCTTTTAATTTCACCAATCCAAGAATTATTTATCGAGAAGCCAACACTTTACGCAGAAAGTTCGCTGAGAGTAATTTCATACAAATATTACCTGCTATTAACAAACGATTTGATTCGGCTTCTCTTTGAAATAATTACCGCGATGTTTCGAATAATTTTTTCAATATGCGCAATACATCCTAACACTTATTTTATGTATATGTATGTATGTACGTGTATATACGTGTATATGTATATGTATATGTATATACATGTTTATGTTTGTAGGTCTATATGTATATGCATATATATATGTATATGTGTATATATATGTGTTTACATATATGTTGTATATGTATGTTGCATGTTTTGCATATATATGTATGTGTATGTGTATACATATTAACATTTATTGTTTTGCGTATGTATACATATATATGTTATGTTATAATTTTTTTTTATATAATAACTCATTCCATAACTAATATCGTTTTCAGTTAATATCTATACTTCTACTTAATAAATTTTGTTTCATCACATTTTTTTTTATTTTTACATTGTCTTTCATGGTTTTATTATGTTTCTATATTTTCATATTGATCCACATATTTTGTTCAACTGTTGATTATGGATTGTTTACACATTTTTATTTTTTCTATGTTCCTACTGCGCATGATCGCTGAGAAAATTTTCGTAATATGAAACCACTAAACTTCTCTCTATCCCTATCTCTCATCCAACAGTTTCCACCATTTTCCGCAAACACGTACGCACACATTTTACTCTCGTACACACACGTAATACATATTCCAAACTTACAACATGTTCGTTTGGAATTAGCTTTTTTATAATAAAATATATTATTTATATTAATTTTACAATTTTTTTAAAATTATCATAACATACGTTTTATCAATATTTTATTTCATATTTATTTTATTTTTTCGTGCAATTTTGTGTGTTTTTGTGTTATTTTTCAACATTTATTTGTATGGTGAGTTTCTTTACATTTGTTTATACTATAAATTTGTTTTTCATATATACTTTTCATATATTCTTTCACAATATATAATTATTTTTAAAACTAATTTATTAAACTGGTTAGATGTATTTATTATTTTTTTTACATTGGTTTTACTTATTTTTGTCTGTTATTATGTATTTTTTATATTGTTTTAATTTGTAACTCTGAAATATTTAATTGTAGCACTGAAGATGGGTCAAATCAAGACCCAAAACGTATGTCTCTAAATAAAAACATTTTTCAATAAAACTGTTTTTTAAATACTGGATGGATGCCCAAGAAACAATTTTACATATTATTTCACCATCTGAAGAAAAACCTCTCGTTTTATATATATATATATATATATATATATACATATATATATATATACATATATATATATATATATATATATATATATTAATTGTTTAATATGAACAAAACAGCACTCAGATTGGAGACAAAACGCAAATTGGACCTTTGTGCTTTGTCTTGCTCTACATATATACTTTATATTAAATTTACTTTAATTCACCGAATGTTACTTGAAACTTTTCAAAAAGCAGGTCAAAAAAGAAATACTTTTTTGAATTTTAAATATTTATTTTCTATCTCTCCTCGCAAAAATTTGAAAATTTTGTATAAGTTCGGTAGTATTATTCACAATTATATACAAAATCCAGATTCCAAAAGGAATCTGAAAAACTTGAAACGTAATCAATAAGTCGGAAGACCGAAAAAGACTTGGGTGCATTATACTATGTTTCCTATAGAAAGTGTATAAATCTTCCAGTTTGATTGTACTGATAAAATATAGACAAACTAATGTCATTTCAAAATGACAGGATTCAAACAACACATCCTTATACACTTGAAGTATTAATATTTTTGATTTTCTAGAAATTGTTTAGAATATACCTTACTTAGCAAAACAACGTTTTTCGGATCAGCTAGTATATATATATATATATATATATATATATATATATATATATATATATGAATAGTCTTAAATTTGATGTCGATATAATATGTGTAATTTGAGTTAAATGACATATAATATATATATATATATATATATATATATATATATATATATATATATCATATTATGTATTACTTTATCGTCATAATAAATTGAGCATAAATAAAGTACTACCTCTGCCTTTGCTCGCGTTCAGAGCATTGACGATATTGAAGGTTAAATCCGGACTGAGCGGTTCGGTTCCAGTTTCTTTATACACAGTATTTATGTCTAAAACTTTACCATACGGATTCATTAGCAGCTTTAATGGCGGTGGAGGCTTATTGCTTATATCACTGGCTGTTTCCAATGTAGTACAAGAAGATTGGTGACCTATTTACATAGAATTAATATATTCGATGAGTATATTAACTATAACTCATAAAATAGTACAATACAAATAATCGATCGAGTAAATACATTTTATAGAAGTATTTACGGGAAATAGTAAACTTCAATTTGATTAGATGCTTCAGAACATTTAGTATGCAAAATGTGAGGACCGCATTCTGTACATGGTTTTTAGGTCAGATTATAATTTTAAATATTTTCTGGAGTTTTGTTCGACTTTAATTTTAAACACCACTCCTTTGAAAACCAAGTATTCAAATGAAATATATCATTTAATAATTGCTCTAGTAACAATATTGCATTAATTCTTACAATCTAACATACTCGTATATATTGCTACGCAAATAAAAATAAAATATAACTAGTTGAAAGTGACATTATGCCTCAAGGCAAGTTAGTAAGATTTCTTGATATGTGTAATAATTGACTTAATGAACCGAAATTGAGATAGCGATATTTAGATGAAAGTTTAGTTTAGTTTCTACTCGAAATACTACGATTTCCAATTATTATCTTTCAAACACATTTATAATATATGTAAGCAATTATAATAATTATAGAGCACAAACACGAGCCATGGCCGAGGTCGTTAACGCACGGACCGATGTGGATGGGGTTGCGTGTTTGATTTCCTGCTCAGTCAATCTGACATCGAGCAGCGCGATGTCCATTTTCAATTGAAAAAATAGATCAAAATAAGTTTCTGAAATTGAACCTGCTATACAAAGTTCTAGTGAATATATATACTCATCCAATTTTAGTCAGAATGTTTATTGCACACACTTGAGATAGAGAGATTTTTGTGAAAAAGCACCTTCTTGCTAATTCTAAAAAATGACTTGTCCAATCATCTCGAAAATCTTACCGGGGCTCCTTTTTTGTGTTTAATCTAATAGCTTTCAAATTTGTGAGATTGTATCAGGCGTTTTTGAGAAAATGTTTAAGAAATTCAAATTTTAACTTATCACATCATATGCGACTATTCCATTCTAGTGATCATAATATTTCAAATTATGATGAATTTTTAATCGTTAATTATAAAGAAACGGCAAATTTTTATGTTATATAGAGAAATGGCCCGGCGAGTCTTTACTAAAAACAGATCAACACTATTTCCAACCAATTACTTTCGAACGGTTTTTGAATTTTCAAATATTGGTTTTAGATAATGGGCAAAAACGTGGAAGAAACATTTTTCACCTATTGGTTAATTACAAAAAAACGGCTTGGTCGATGATTGTGAAAAACAAATCAACGCGAGTTAAAATTGGTTCAGCCGTCTTTAAAAAATGTTTATAAAATTTCTTTTTATTTTTTAAAATTAAACCATTTTTCGTAGAGCTGCAATATTTCAGTATGTTCTATAAGACTATGGTATCTATCGTCAGATAATGTTTTAATAAAAATCGTCAAAAAAAATTTAACGGGTAATTAACAAAACTAAACAGTACGATTCTCAACCAACATCTTTAAAACGGTTTTTGAATTTAATATTGATTCAGGATTGTGGGCTGAAATGTAGAATGAAAAATTTACACTTTTTTGCCTATTACGAAGAAACCGCACGGCTGATTGTTGTACCAAACTGATAAACGCAAGTCCTCATTCCGTTACAACAAATGGCTTTCAGATCTAACTTGCCATTTTTGGTAGGAGGTCAATAATCGGCTCACATCATACACTTGACACAGAATCGCTTGAAACGCTAAAAAAATCTAAAAATAGCGAATCGAAATTTTAAACAAAAACTTAAATTTCTCCTTCAAGAAGCTAAAAACAAAGAATGTTGCGTGGCGTCGTGCATTAAGGCAAAAGTGCTAGAACTAACCATATCGTGATTAAACAAGCCAGGAATAGAAAAGATCATTCAAAAACAATCCCTCGATAAATAGATATTATAAATAATATAACTTTTATTACGACTTTATACACAGAAGTAAGGACTTATGAATTAGACGACGTCGTTTATCCATGTTTAAATGAATTATGATATATATATATATATATATATATATATATATATAAACCTCGTGTGACGATGTTGGTTTGCGATGGACGCCCAAACTACTGAACCGATTTTAAATTTTATTAGCTCATCGTGTGCATATACATCCAACTTAGGTTATAGGAAATTTTGAAAAGTAAATTTAAAATATAAATATATAATTTTTATAAATTTCAAAAAATTTTGACAGAAAGTTACTAAGAAGAACACTAAAATGACAAATGTCAAAATTTATGGAAAATTCGAGAGATTGGATTTTTTCAAAAACATATACATATATAGATATATCCAACATTTATATCCAAATTAGATGAAATGCTATATTCAAAATCACTGTTTATAGGTTTAAATCTAACTAAAAATCAATGTCTATAAATTTAAATAAATGTTGACACGAAAAAAAGTGAAATGTCATTTGTCAATATTTATGAAAATAATTAGATAAATAAAATTATATTTTATATTTATTTGATTAGCTTACCAAATTATTTCGGATACCAAAATTTTATCAAACCATTATAGATCACAATAAAAAAGCGACTTATTGAATTTAAAATTAATCATAAACAAAATTTTGACAGTTGAAAAAAATAAATTTTTAACGACTTCAATATGAAACAAGTACATTAATTATTCCAAGTTATGTCATAGGCAATATTGCCAAACAAATTATAGATAGAAAACATTATTGCAAAATAAATTTTATCACATTATACCAATTTAGAATAGTGAAATTGACATTCACTATTTTACAATTAAATGCAAATGTAAAAAATCAAATATTTATATAAAAAATGTATATTTAGATAAAGATTCTGCGTTGATTTAATCTAAAATCTAATTTATTCATTAATTTAAATAAAAATTACATGAACAAAATTAAAATAAACAAAACTCTATGATGCGTTGGAATTAATAATCGAAGTGTGAAGAAATTTATGTAATTAAAACATAATATTATTATCAATATATCAGTTGAGATATATTTTGATTGTCATCGCAAATGCTAATCTTACAGGAAATTGTAACCTCTTAAATAGAATAGTACAATCTGAGGGTATCATTATCACTAAATATTATATAATATTATATTAAATTTCGACCGAAAAGAAAATATTTTGACAGTTATAATTAATTTGAAATAAAATGCAAATGTCAAAAATCAGACCTTTATGTAAAAAAATATTTATTTTTAGAATAATCCTGTGTTGATTTAGCCAAACCTATGGATTTAACAATTATATAATTTATTCATTGATGACTTAAAATAATTATATAATATAATAATTATAATAATAATAATTATTATTAATTTATTGGAAAATAAATAATATTTATATATAAGGTCATTTAATTAGAGATATTTTTTAGTTTAAACACGAAAGAAAATTTTATTGACATATTTGACATGACAAAAGTATAATAAACAAAAAACTATGATGCGAGTGAATTAATTTTTGAAGTATGAAATGTTAAATAATTTTGAAAATTATAACAAATTTTTAACTATTTGTCAGAAAGAATATATTTTATTACAAATTCCTACCCATATCGAGGACCAAAGTAATAAATACTATTTATAAAATGATATATTATTTATAGATAATGTGATTTTAATGCATACTTTAATTATATGTTTTGACATTTGCTAATTCAAAATAAATTAAAAAGAATTGAAAACAATGTCATAAATCGGATATTTATGGAAAAATATCAAATAAATATATTTATGTTTCACTGATTTCAAATAAGAATTATAAAAAAAATCAAAATTAAATAAATTTTTTTTCTGAATTTCTTATACTGCTTATGCTAAGACCATAAATGGATCACAAAGGCAAGACATAAAATAGTAAATTAAAAAGTATAAGAGAGAATATTAAAAATTTTGAACTTTTCAAATGTAGATGTGGGTACAGGACAACGTCTGTTGGGTCATCTAATATATATATATATATATATGTATGTATATACATATATATATATATATATATTATATATATATATATATATATATATATATATATGTATATATTTTAAACTAGACTTACTCTAATATTATTTAATTAATAAAACACCTTTTACTTCATACTAATATATTTAATAATCCACCAAGTTAACACCACGCCGAATTGTTCAACACCCTACAAGTTACTCCCAGACACCGACTCGCACACAGATACACACTTCTGTTCCGTAAGGATCAGACACTCTGCATTAGACACACCATAGAGCACATACACCTCAGGATAGACACTCTTGGCCGTTATATTCAAATGGCAGACATACAATATTGAATCATAAAACCATTACAACATAAATCATATTTCATTCACTTATTGTCTCTACTAACTTATTGTCTCTACTAACTTATTGTTTATACACTTATTGTTTATTATACGATTAGTCCTAGTTACAAGTTCATTTGTTGTCACTAATAACACCCTCACTACTCACATCAGTCTGTTCTTCTTCCAGTTCAGAACCCTCACTCCCTTCGAGGCCATAGTCCTCTTCTGCCCTAAACCATAATCGCATTTTGCTTGGATCAATTATGGTTTCCATTGGCATCTGCGTTACTTGGAATCCCTCCACATCGCCTATGACATACCGGTCATGGTCCAACACCTTCTTAACTAAATATGGTCCCTTATTCCTTGGTAACAATTTCTTGTTCACACCAATAGTAGTGTCCACATTGGTGATCATTACCATATCTACAATTTTATACTTCTCCGCTTCCTTACTACGCCTATCATGGTATCTTTTATTATAATCTTGCCCCCTTTCCATCGTTTGGGCTGCCTGCTTTCTAATTTCGTCCTTGTCATACGACTCATTCTGCTGCAGATAATCTCTCACTTCATCCCTAACTTCTCCCCGTTGTGTCACTCCAAATAATAGAATACTGGGGTCTCACCCGTGCTCTTACACGCCGGATTATTCAAGGCGTATTCTACCTTATACAGAACTGTGT